GTGGCCCTTTACTTCTTTCTGTTGAAGGTTTTTTTTTGTTTGGGGAGGCATGATTCGATATTTTCCCTGAAGACTGCGGAAAGATTGTAGGTTTGTCGCTGGTTATGCTACATAAAAGGCAAGAAAGAAGGAACATTGACGCTTTAAGCGAAAACGGAATACACGAACAAAGGCAATGATGGTGGTGATGGTGGAGCTTTGCAAGTGAGAGGAGAGATGGGGAATACTTGGTCAATATGCCTTAATGATTTCTGGCTTTACTTTGATACTCATCCCGCTCTTGTGTGTGTGGACCTGCCTTCGGGCTAAGGCATTGTCCCACCCCTTCCTATCCTCCAAGAATACATTTAGTCAGCCACATTGTATGCCTTCTTCCACCTAGCAGGAAGTATTGAGGCGCCACACTGGTGGCAACGGAATGCGAATCCGACCTCCTTTAATAACTTCTGCCCTAATATCCGTCATTTGCGGTATGTACCTGCGACGTGGAGGAAGCGCACATTATTCAGGCAGTAGATCCTCTGGATTACTTACAACATAGGGATTGAGATTTGTGTCTGGGATTGGCTCCACCTTGTGCTCGTGCCTCACAGACAAGCTACTAGCAGCTGAAGCGACACCGCTCTGCGCCATCTGGAAGAGTTTCGTATCACAAGTCCCCATGCTACATATCTGTATAGGTGCCGTAAACGACGCCACTCTGTATGCCCTTGCATACAAGACTGCATTTGGTTCCGCATTTCTTGTTGAGCATCTGTTTTAGACCAGCTTTCCAACGTCTGGTCGTGGAAACGATTGGCTGCCACCAAATGTATGCGATCCTGGCTGTTGGTTTCTGGTGCGCGACTGAACGCAACTCCAGATCCAGTTGAAGGGTCAAGTTGAATTCGTCAGTCTCATGGTAGTTGATGGTCGGCGCGGCACGCTCTTAGGTGTTTCCTTGTAGCACCGGAGATGGTGTGATGACTGGCGTGGGACGTGTGTCAAGGGGAGCGTCAGATTGGTGACTCAAACTAAGAGAGGACAGCGTAATGCTGCCTGTATGACCACCTGGTGTCTGGCGGTTGCTTTGGCATTCGACTTGTCCTTGTGTGCGTGGGCTGGCCTTCGGGTCAAGCCAAGTTCCTGACCCTCTTATCCTCCTAGAATACATTTGTTCACCTCAAACTGATGCCTCTTCTACTAGTGGGAATTCTCAAGCTGCTAAAGCAGTAATTAATAGGGAACAATCTCTTGAAAGTGGAAAAATTTGGGACGAAATTTAGCTATTTACTTTTGTAATACTTTGTTTATGTGACCACATGACGTTTGCCGGTCACTTGATTTTTTTCTGGCCCTTGTACACGTGGGCTGGCCTTCGGGCTCATTTGTCCTGTTGTCTTTGGAATAAGTGTATCCAGCTGCACTTACTGACTTCTTACAGCGACTTTGAAATCGAACCTGACATTTATAACAACTTTTAGCGGAGATGGAGTCTCTCTCTGCGACTTGTTCTTCGTTGATTGTTTGTTTGTTTATCCGGGAAAATTTATTGCCCAACAGAAACTGCTGTTTTACTGGCATCCTAAACTAAACTATGCTAAAATTTGCCGATCAACTGACTGATTTCCAGAAAAGTACAGTACGAACAAGCCGACAAGCAATGGTTCGATTTGATAATGCAAGTCGCGCAGGATCTGAGGATTTATGTCGCTAGTTCTTGGTGCTGATGCTCTGGGTTTTAGTATCTACAATTCTGATAGTCTGTTGGACCCCAAAATCCAGTTCCCTTGGTTGGAAAGTCGAAACTTCTCTTTTCACGATAAGAAGGTTATAGTGCAACCAGCGAACAGGACAGCAAATGAATTCTGCTTACTAGTGGAGAAATCCATGATTAATAAGTGCATTTTGGAGTTGCGCACCGGCAGTCTTGAGCTGTATATGCGTAGAAGGATGAAGATAAAGGCAAGGGGGACGTTAATTGAAGGAAGCGCATTTACCTTGGTGACGGAGAATCCCAGAATACTTCACAACGAATGCATTCCTCCGTTCCACCGACAAGCTTTTATAGCGTTCTGAGACCTCCTGGTCAGTATAAGAAGTCAGTAAGTGCATTTGGGGTCATCTATTCTTAAGACGACAAAACAAAGGGCCTGGGCATGGCCCGAAGGCCAACCCACGTGTACAAGAGCTAGACATATACTAAGGTGACTGCCAAACGTCAGGTAGTCACACGAATAAAGTGTTACACTGCCACTCACTTCCTTTTGGGCGATGTCCTCGCCGCTAACTACCTGGAAAAATTTCATACCGGAGCTTGTCGGAAATGACACTACGGTTCTCCTCACATACGAGTGGTAGCTCATCCCATTTCCTCTGTAAAATATCTGTATTGGACAAGAATTCCACCGTGTTTTCTTGCAAGTAATTGATAGTCAACAGGTGTATGCTGCCCCTAATCTGGGTGTCCGACCCAACGTAACTCCAGATGCAGTTGAACTTGTCGAGGAGACCAGGTACGATTCCTCTGTCTCATGCTATCTGTCGAGTGGTGCAGATGGCTCGTGAATGCTTTCGTGTAGTACCGAATATGCTGTTATGGCTGCCGTGGGAGGTGTACCAAAGAGGAGCGCACAGGACGCCGCTCGAAAGAAGAGACGGGCAGTGTAATACCTTGTTTATGTGACCACAAGACGTTTGCTGGCCACTTGAGTTTTTGTCTGGCCATTGTACACGTGGGCTGGCCTTCGGCTCATACCCAGGCCCGTTTGCCAAGTCGTCATCGGAATGCATGTATCCAGCTGCACTTACTGATTTCCTATACCGGCTAGGAAGCCCTAGGACACTACAAATTTGTTAAGTGTGATTTATTGCTGCTAGCGATATTAGACCAACTTCTTCTCACCTTAATCTGGTTTTCGAATACTTTTGTCTGTATTTGTATCCCACAAATATTTGTATTCAATATATCATTGTTTTACATTGCCTAATTAAATAAGCAACGTAATTTAAACTTCGATATTTTGAAACGAATTTTTAACATAAGTTAGGCATAGTTGTGAATTATAATAATATTTTTTTAGTGTTTTAAACGTTAGCATGATTTAATTTACCTCGGGGTGGGTTCGAAGTTGTCGCACAGGTTTGCAGTGTTGAGTTCTTTCAAATGGTTGTCAAAAGTAAGAAGAGATGTTGCGCTGCTCCGACTTCGAGTACACTTAAACGTAGAAGAAGTAAGCTCTTCTTTTAGCCTAATGTGATTACTTCTGCGTTCGTGACGTTGGGCTTGTGTTGTTGCGGTTGGTGGCGTCTTGCTGTTATGCGGTCTTAGCGTTACTGCCTATCGCTTTCGTAGGCTGCTTCTTATGTATTTTTGTAGTGCATTTTTACTGCTTTCTTTTGGAGCTTTTTTAATCGAATCATTTTATTTTGGCGCAACCCTTTACGCTATTACGCAAATTTGTTTTCTTTTGTCTCGCAACATTCGTGAAGCATTGCCCGTAACTAATCACTCTTTTCACCTTGATCTTAGTTGATCCATTCGCTGACGAAACTGAGGCCGATCTTAAAAGTCGACATTTGAAAAGGTACTCTACAACAGGCATAGTCCTCACGCTTGGTGTTGGAGACACTGGCCAGCTTGGCCTTGGACCGAATATTACCGAACGCATGAAACCTGCCCGATTTACCTCCGCCAGTCTTTCGACAGGAAGCCCCGTGGACGATTTTGAAAAATTTGTCCAGGTTGTTGCGGGTGGCATGCATACCGTTTGTCTCACTGAGGATGGGAAGGTGTTCACGTTCGGTTGCAATGATGAGGGTGCTCTTGGTCGCTTGTCCGCGGACACTCCTTCCCAAGATGGTGACGGAAAATCCATCAATAGTTTTGTTGAAGAATCTAGGCCTGGTGTTGTCACTTTTCCCGAGAATGATGTACATATTATGATGGCAAGTGATTTATACGGTCCAAATGTCGAGATTTCTTTATTGTGATCCCCGTAATTGAACATCATATTTCACCATTTTTAATCAGAGGTTCTCTTCAGGCTCCTGCTAAGGTGTTGCGTATGCGAAGGAAATTACCATGGACTTTATGCTGTTAAAGTTGAATGCAATAAATGTTGTGGACTTGTTACTAGTTTGCGTATTGTGTTACTTATCAACATCTATTCTATTGGTCGTTGACTTATTTGACTTGTTAGGTTTCTGCAGGTGATAGTCACACTGCAGCTCTTGACGCTCTGGGACGCGTTTGGTTGTGGGGCACTTTCCGTGGCGCTGGTGGGGCAATTGGACTAACTAAAGTGGGCGAGATTTGTCGCCGCCCGACCCGTCTAAAATCGCTTTCTTGTACGGTTGTGAAAATCGCTTCGGGACAGGATCACCTGGTTTGCCTTACTGAAGAAGGTCGTCTCCTCACAATGGGATGTGGTGAACAAGGCCAGTTAGGTCGAATTGCCGAACGCTTCTCGAAGGATGGTGGGCGCAATGGATTCGGTGTGTTGCTGTGGTTCCTGGTTCATGGCTATTTAGTCATTGTGACTGTTTTCATGGTCGCTATGTATCTTGGATGTCTTTGTTTGCTGCTTTAATCTTCTGCTTGTGGTATTACAATCATGTGTGAATGACAGATTCGAAATTGGTTTTTTTTGCTCTAGTTAACGGTCTTTTATAGTTGATTACACCATCTTCAGATCTGCTTCTTCAACCTGGAGAATGTCGTGTACGCGGATGCAAGCGATTTGTTGATGTATGGGCTGGCGGATTTGCAACCATTGCACGTTGTATGAATTCGGGCGTTATATATGCTTGCGGCTTAAATAACTACGGACAGCTTGCCCTTGTCAAAAAACGGTGCTCTGGGACAATGGAAAAGATGCAGGTTGATGAAAGTAATCTGGTGAGTACAGAGAACATTGTCGAACGTGAGCAACTCTCAGAGTCCATGTTGGCCAAAAGGCAGGGTCCTCTCGTTCAATTTATGCTTACTCCTGCAAATGGCTTTGATCCAGAAAAGAATTGGGTGCAGTTTGCCATAGGAATGCACCATACTCTGGCGTTGACCTCTTCGGGTGAGCGCATTGTTCCATCCTTACTTACATTTCAGAAAAGTACTGACTCGTCCATTCAAAACAGATTATCGTGTTTAGGTGATGTTTATGCCGTTGGCCGAAGTGATTACGGGCGTCTTGGCTTTACCATCTCCAAATCCGATTCAGATGCCTCTGCAGTCTCCTCCCCTCATGTGGTTCAAGGCCTTCTACTTGGTCGGAAATGCTGCTGGATTGGTTGTGGCGAGGCTTGTTCTTTTGCGATCGATGATGCGGGTTTGCTAACTGTGCAAACATTTATGCTAACCTTTTTAGTATACTTGTAATAGCAATTTTTTTTCTCTTTTCAATGCAGGAAAGGCCTTCTCTTGGGGTATGGGAAGTAGTCAGCAGTTAGCTCATGAAGCGGAGTATGAAGATGCTGTCGAACCTGGTGAAATGGTCGGTAGGAATCTCTTAAACAGGTAAGTTCATGTTAATCTTTTTAAAAGTTCGAATGATTTCAGTTACAACGTTAAACTTGATATCCCTTTTTAGGCGGGTTGTCATGATCGATGGTGGCGGTCAACATACTGTCATGCTTGCAGAGGATCTCTCTCGGGTTAGGCCTACGATGACGAAACCAGACACTGAAGAAAGCATGGGGAAAATTGAGTCTCGTGAGAAAAAAATGTCACCGGTAATGAAGAATCATACACCACCAGTTCCGATGGATACAACTTCTGAGGTAGCAACCGCTGCAATAAATGAAAAAGACTCGACGGACAAGCCCATTGTGCATTCGCTGAGCGCATCAAACCCTCCTCCTGATGTTGCTAGCACTGCAGGGGCCACAGTTAATAGCAGTTCTGTGCACAGTTGTTCCTTCGTTGCAAGCGATCAGTCTTCACTGAGCAGTGCCCACAGCACAGACGGTGGGGGATCGAGTCGTCTAGGCGGCTCGCTGTTTGCCCAGCCTGTGGATGCGCCTCTGGCCTCAAAGGTTGGAGCTCCACCCCTTGCGGGAGCTAATTGTGGCGGCAGCACCACTAGCACCAGCGAACCCGGATTCCCGTTGACCGACGGTGGCTCCAACACCGCATCCCCTGCCAACACTCATTAACCACCTCTACCTGTGGGCGCCATTTTTATACCCGCACGTCACAATTATGTAGATGCAAACCAACGGCAGCGACAGCCCCATTTGGTCTCTTAAGGCCTTCCAATTTAACTTGACCTGCTACTATGAACCTTCTAAACTCCAAATTACTGCATACAATATTCATGTTTTAAGTTCCCGTATTTATGGATAGCAATTGTATTACTTTGTTTGTAAGGAATACACAGGGTAGTTTCGAATGAATGCGTGAAGTTTGAGGAAATGCACAGCAGGGCCAAAGGTAGTAAAGCGAAAAAAAATAATGACGAAGGTCAGAACAGGGAACACTTCCTCTTATTTTTGAATGGATCGTCTTTGGAGGCATTAATGAGCTGGTCGGCATCCACATGCTCGAAACAGTAGTTTTTTATATCATTGATAGCTACACTGAGCTTGAGACGCTTCATATTCAAACACGACTTAAGCATTAGGATTTCGTTCTTCTTGCGCTCAATCTCGTCCTGACGATTAGCAGCCGCATTTGGTTCCCCAGGCTAAATAAAACGAATTAAAGCTGGACATAGTGAATGACATAAGGAGCAGTTTTACGTAAAGAAACAATTATAACGTTGCATCAACATGAGATATTGAGAGGGAGTTCAACCCTATAAGGTCGATAAGTTAATGAATACGGATATCACTGCTAGGAAACAAGCTAATAAATGAAAAAAAAGCGAAAACTCGCCTACACTAATAACCAGAACAACGCTTATAAAAGGGAAATATAACATACAATCATTGCAAGCCTGTTAGCTCAGATGGCTAGTGTGAAACTACAGGCGTGTAAGAAATCACATCTAGCAGAGGTCGCAGATGTATTGGCTTCAAATCTTTCATGGTTTAAAGATCCCAAAGACGTACAGACTAGCTCTTATGAAGATTTTTAAAATTTTAAAAAGTTTGTAGATCTGACGAAATTTTATTATATTGAGATCATGTGCTAATTAACTTAAAGAAATCCTCTTTAATGTGTGTGTATTGAAATATTTTAAAACTCTTAAAAGGACTTTTTTGTAATATTTATTCACACATTCGCAGGACACTTCTGAGCCGAAATCAAAAATGTTTGCTGCTTATAATGCCTTGCATTAGAATGTTCGCTTTGATTAGTAAATGCGAACACTCATAAATGTCCACATAAGCGTTATAGCTCAGCATGCTTAGGAGAGAAACTTGATCAAACTACACATGCTTATTAAAAAAGTATTAAGTGTACAGTTTGCTAACATGAACTTTTTTGGATCTATGGTTAAATGCTTTGATTTGACACATGGAGCTAGTTTATACCTTTGAAGTTAAACGCGGTGAATTCAATTGGCTGCTGATTGCTTTTTCCTGTTGCCGTTTTGGTATGGGTAATGAGGCGTCTCTTCCAGAGTTGTGTTCCACATTTGATGTCGAGGAAATTAAGCGACTAGGAAAGCGGTTTAAAAAGCTTGATCTTGACGGGTCCGGCTCTCTCAGCGTTGAAGAGTTTATGAGTCTCCCGGAACTTCAGCAGAACCCGCTTGTTGCACGTGTTATCGAAATTTTTGATACTGATGGCAACGGCGAAGTGGATTTTAAAGAGTTTATCGAAGGAATGTCTCAGTTTAGCGTTAAAGGGAACAAGGAGGCGAAGCTTAATTTCGCATTTAAAATATATGATGTCGACAAAGATGGTTACATTAGTAACGGGGAGCTCTTCCAGGTAATTGTTCTCTCCTCTTCTTTATGAGCAGTAGTGTTTGTGACTTGTTTGAGTTTCGTTTTTCTTTGGCCATGATCTCTAATCTAATCTATGTTGCTTGGTCGCGTTACTTACTGCCTGATGCGACAGGCATTCTCACGGCGAGTTGCACGGCAGTTTCCTTTTAAGTTTTGTGCAATATTCTCATTGTGGTCTTTATGTTTTTTTCTTAGGTTCTGAAAATGATGGTTGGTAATAACTTGAAAGATGCACAGCTCCAACAAATTGTGGATAAAACAATCATGTTCGCTGATCAAGATGGAGATGGTCGTATTTCATTTGAAGAATTCTGTCAAGTCGTGAGCGGTTTGGACGTACACAAAAAGATGGTAGTCGACGTTTAATATGCACTTATAAAACCAAAATTGTAAGTTTCCCTCTCATCTGCGATTCGCCTTTCCAACTGTCAGACTTAAACCATTCTCTTTCCACAATCGCACAACTGAAATGTTTATTTTGATATTGGCCTCTCAATTGTGCAGGATTTGACGACCAATTATTAAACTGTCTATCTTCCTCATGTTTATCGTCGTCTGTGATGTTACAAGTGTAACTGTCGCTCTTTTCCCATTTTGCTCTCAGTGCATGTGCGAATTTTGTGTATATCCCCCATATTGTTGACTATAAACCATGGTAAGTCAACAATGTATTTTTTTGCTCAGATATTCGAAACTTACCTGCAGAATTGCGTTGCCTTCCAGAATCGCATTTGTCACTGTCCCATCATACATTAACTCCTGTTCCCCTCTCATACATTTATACCCATGTCTTCCCTGAAACCACAATTCATCTCGAAAACTGCTTGTTTCCTGTAGTTTGCATAACCTTTGTGCCACTCCACGAATAATCTTTACTTCATAACTATTCTTTGACTTGTTAAGGTCGAAGTTTTACATCATCCGATCTGTCGCAATGTGTGTACAACTTTTTTAACTGCCAATGGTGAACTGAGTTTTGCTTTTCCACTTTCCTCTTCTTTCTCTTCTATTCGTATTTTTTTCTTAAGTCCCGTTGGCTTGAATGGAGATCTTGCTTATCTGCACTTTATCGTTCTTTTATATTTAATTTAACCGTGATTTTTAATCATGAGTACCTTATTCATTTCGAATGAAGCAAAATTTCTGCCTATTTAAATCCCTTACTTTTTCACTAACGGCAGTATTGATTCCTTTGAAAGCATTAAATTAGTGTCTTAGGATCATCGCAAACGAATTCCTACTGTATATCATTCATGTTGGGCGGCGTACTTCCTCGTGAGATTGTAAAATGTCGAGGCTCATGGTCACTATGTGGTGTTTGTATGCAGTTGCTTGTGTTTCGCCGTCTGGGATCGAAGTATTTTGTCTTTTCTTGGTATTGTGTCGTTTATGGTGAAACATTGACTTGATTGAATTTAAATGCTTCTATTTCTCATGCATTACATCCTAAATTGGATACTGGATGCCCGTCGTCCCACGGTATCCCGATTCATCTTTGGTTTGCTTCTAATGGGGTACTGGTGAAATTCTGACGAAGTAGGTCTCCTTGTGGATGGTGCCATTTCTTGTCAATAAGTGTGTGAGATTTGTCAAGTTCCAGTAGGTTTTACAGGTAAAATTGATGGTCGTGGAAAGCCAATTTATTCATGCTATAGTTTGCCAGTAGTTTGTCGAAAATCTACGCGGGAATGGATCACCAACACGAGCAGGATTGTTTCCAGCGGTCTCGAGCGAAGTAAGCTGAGATTTTGCAAGCTAATTTGTTGATCAATAGTATTTTACGCCTTGGTTCCTGATCCATCTCCATCTAGCCCATTTCCTGCTGTTATTTCTAGTGGGAGCACGATTCTATGATCAAATATATGAATGGGTGAAGCTGGAACGTTTCTTCGGCTCTGTCATTATTTATAGTCAAAACTGATTGCTCTCCGACTTATCGGTTTAACGCTTTCGTCTGCGGGCGGTCAATGTGGCACGCTGGTGATCAAATCAAAATGTGACTGTCACCACTTTGCTTTGCTTCTCTATTTTCCTCTGGTTCAGTTTACTATCAAATACTCGATTTTCAATGTTAATCCGAACAATTGTGATGTGTACTTAAAGTCATTAAGGGGCGGTGGTCATGTTTAAAGGACCGAGTTTATCTCGAAAGGTCTAGTGTTGCCTTTAAAGGAGTCTTATGGCACGAGAGTGCAAGGCTTGGCAATAAAATCGAAGTGTATTTGCATGTCAAGCTGATGCAATATCTGGGATTGTCTGCCGCGCGCATCAATGCCTCATTATGTTATGGCTCATCTACGTTGTCTTTGCCCACACAAACCAATGGACTAATCATTTTAGAAGCCATATATTTTGGAATAATTGCAAGTCTGGTAACAGTGTATGGCACAATGAGTGTGTTCTTGTTGATGTTCAGAAGTTCAAGTTTTACCAATTTTGAAAGGATGTTTATCCATAGGAAGCAAATTTTGACTCTTGTCTTAAGGGTTTGGGAACAAATCTAGGAGTAATGGGTGAATATTTAAGTGTAGACCTCGGTTATAAGCCTCGAGTTTCAGAGGCATGCTTCTGTCACTGATTCATTTTGTTATGATTTTAAACGGTTCCGTAAGAAGGTCCTTTGATTGGAGCGAACTGTTTAAAACCAAAATTTTCCTGGCTGCAGTGACATTGAGTTAGCAGTCTGCCGCTTTATTCCTAGTTAAGTCTCAGCAATCGTAAATAGCTATCCAACAATTTGCTACTGAATCCACCAGGTGTAAAACACACACAGCGTCCTCCTGCAGTGAGGTGTGGATATCCTAGCAAAATATGCTTAACGACGTTCTACCACTTGGGTCGAATTGATTAAACCGAAGTAAGTGAGGATTCATCCAAGCTCTTGAACGCCACGAGCAAAATCTGAAATAAACACAAACTCATCTATGCTAACCTTAGAGCGGGAAGTTGTACTAGGTGTCGGGTTATCCGCAAAGCCTGTTCATTCAGCATTGTAGATACGAATGCCAGAGCTCAAGATTTGACTTCAATTCAACCTAATCACTAACATCGATTAGGGTCAAATTAATTTTCCTTCCTTGCACTAGTATACTTAGTGGTTCGCTGCGCACCTGAGCTGTTGATTTACAATACAATGTCATACACTTCGCGAAAGTAAACCATAAGGCAAGACGGTTGCCTTCGTGCATGCAGCCCCGAGGCTCGGTAGGTGTTGTTAACCTTAGGTCTTACCTAGGGTTTCAAGTATTCAAGTTGCTATCAGAAGGTGAAGAATGTAGTTTAGGTTACTAACTAGTGATGCTTTTCAGTGTTCTTAAAAACGTTTGTATAAGAATTCATCAGCAGTTTGTAATTTAGGCTCAAAAGGTGCAATTTGTTCTGATATTTTGTAAAAAAAGGATATGAAGAAAGTGGAAATTCTGGCAAATTCACCTTAAAGCGTAACGTTTCTGTTATCAACCGAAGTACGTAACGAAAAGTGAATACTTTCAGGCTGTGGGACTGGATGCAAAACGATGTTTTGTGAAACACTGTTACCATGACGTCTACGTAAAAAAAGTAGTGATTGGCATCGATAATACTCCTAATTTTGCTGAAATTTTGTAACTTACAATATTATGGAAGTAATCATGCTAATGCGAGCACTTCCCTAGGAAGTAATACCGGTGTTATACAAGTGGGATGGCAGTCCTAGCATGAATTGAATTCACTGCATTGGCTCTGGTGTAAGTTACACGTGACTTAGGCGTTATTACAAAGCGAAGCCTAATTGTGCACACTGCACTTTTGGTGGAAATAAAGGAGGAATGCCACAGACTGGCTTCTCTTAAAACCGTTTTCTATGTGGCTCTGCCTTGAGGCTGAAACCAAAAATTTCACGATCCATTTGAGGTCTTATTTGATGGCGGTCGCGCCTTGAGTCCTGTGACTGCTAACTCCCTTTACACCTAGTAAATCAAAATTGGTAAATATTATTTTGGACCCAGCAAAAATGCGGAGGCCGAGTAGAGGGAGGAGGAGGAGGAGAAGAAGAAGAAGAGGCGAGTTCATTAGGTTGCAGCGTCTAAGGATAAACCGCTCGTGTATTTTTCGAGAGGGAGGAGGGAAGGCACAAGTCAGTTTAAAATTTGACCTCATGACCCATCACGATTGCATTCAGCAGCATTACTTTTTTGGCCAAAATGCCGTCTTTATTTTGGACATGTAAAAATAGGAGGCACGAGCAGGTAAAGGCAATCTTATACTTCATGTTAAAGCGTTAAGAAAAATAACTTTAAACAGTTCAATGAATTGTTTTCTTCCAATCGGAAACTGCAAGTGGAAGAGTTCAAACTCTATTCGAGCAAATCTTTTAACAAATTCTAATCAAATAATCAAGTCTGAGTTTTTCAACACGCCCTTCAACGGATCTCTGCGTTCTTGATCTGATTTTAATGTGTGCTATATCGTTGGAAGACCTTCAGAATTGAGTCGACAAAAAATACGAAAGTATACATGCTACTATGTTGAATCCAACACGACTAATTCAGTTTTGCATATCCCTTGAAAACTGCACTCTGTTTACCCTTTGTCCGGTACTTTCAAAGATAAGGTGGCGTCTAAATTTTACACTGACGCTCATTTACCACCATCCCATGCCCTGTCTTAGGACAGAAAAACGAATCTGTAGCAATGCAAGTAGTTTTTTTGTTTAAACTATGTCATCGACGTTGGTCAAGTTGGTGTGGATATGTTCTGCGTGTGTGTTGGTCTGTCCAAGCACCAAGCAACAGTCCTAACCACTTTGCAAACGAATAAAATAAGTAACTTGACGGATAAATAACTAAAATAAGTAATAAGTAAATATAGTTACACTCATACGTGATGATGGAGATAGCAAACGTCTGTCACGTAGTCGAAATGTCTGAGTGCCTTCACTACTTCATAAGCGCAACCGAGAAATGTAAACCAAACCACCTTTCAAGCTCTTACTTTTGTAGCGGTCTTTAAGTCAGTTACGTCCACTGCTAAAAGACCAGCAGAGAGGACGTGCATGAATTGAAATAAATATAATGGTCGGGACATAAATTCCTTTTGCGTTATCTAGCGTACCAGTCGCGTCGTGTCATGGCTCGTATTTGACCGCTTTCATCAACACGCAAAGTAACACCGACGCAGGTAACTTAAACACCTTAACCTCATTTGAGTCGTAAGCAAAAGAAAGGCCGCATACCTTCCAAATAACTCCTGGGTTCACTCTCACGTTCCAACCTAAAAGTGAGGAATGCACTCTATCGTAACCCACTCGACAAAAAAGGTTAAAATGGGAAACCCCCTATAAACAGTTTAACAAGTCACTCCTTCAAATATCCAGCACCAACTCTTTT